GGATGAAGCAGGGAAGACCGGTGTTTCACTGTCTAAAGATTTGATGGCGATCGCCGGAGGTGCACTTAAGTCGAATATCACAACCTTGGGTCCTCTCATATTGCCGATCAGCGAGCAGCTTTTGTTTTTCACAACTTTGATAGTGAAGAAATTGTTCAATGCAAGTGTCAAACCTTATATCCCAGATTTCAAGTTGGCATTTGATCATTTCTGTATACATGCTGGTGGGAGGGCTGTGATCGACGAGCTGGAGAAGAATCTGCAGCTGCTACCGATATATGTGGAGGCTTCTAGAATGACTCTCGATCGTTTCGGAAACACTTCTTCGAGCTCCATTTGGTATGAATTGGCGTTCATCGAGGCTAAAGGGAGGATTCGGAATCGCAACCGTGTGTGACAAATTGCATTCGGAAGTGGCTTCAAATGTAATAGTGCAGTCTGGCAAGCACTTCGGAACGTACAGCAATCTAGTAATGGTCCCTGGGAAGACTGCATTGATAAGTATCCTGTGAAATTAAGCTCCTAGCCGGTAACATTTTGAGTTAGATTCTATATTTAGATGGCGTATTTCATCGGGAGCCAAATCCTTCATCTGCTTCTTGATGTGTATTTTTTCGTCAGTCAAATTTGGGATACCATTGTGTTTCATCTTTCGCAGTTCCTGCATATTTGGAGTTGTATCATGTAGATTTGCTCGTTTTGTACCATAATTCTCAATGTATTTCCATGTTACATATATCACTGATGTATAATACCTTTGTGATGTTGCTAAAAGTGGAAAAGGACCACAATGGCAATAATTGATCAATTATCCATGTTCTCTTGCTGCTCAAAACAAGTATTCATTTCGAAGCAATTTTATGTGCCCATGTACGATTAATGGTGAAATCAGAGTAAACTTACAGTAAGCAGGAGCCGGCGCTCTGTGCACCAACCATGTGGCTACAGCAGTAGCAATGACCTAACCACGCATAAAATACCGAAGTTCACCAGTTTCTCATTCAGTACTCAATGTGAACTGAAAATTTTGATGAAAAGAGGAAGGCTAGTGGCTTGTTCCAGCTATAACAGAATGGCACCAACAGCAAAAGTACTTATATTGCTTGATTTAACTCCTACTCAAGTTAATGCTGTACTTGTAATCAAAATAAAGATATAACCAACACTAAAGATTGAAGAATTCTTTTGGAAAATGTTGTCATAATGTGTAACTTTCATCATATGACTCCCACCATATGACTGAGAAGTATGCGTAACTTTCATCGGATAACTTAAAGTTATTATCCCATGTTGAGCGTAAGCATTGAAATGTCTTTGTCAATGCAGAGACTGTTCTACCTATCAATTGAGCTCCTCTAAGAAGGAGATTGGTTGCCTCTATCTTGAGAATGAGAACGTTAAAATACCTGATCTATTGAATAAAATCGAGAGATAACCATTAAATTTTTCACCACGAATCTCGGATCAAATCATTTTATGTCATTCTCTAGACCCGGTGGGACAAATATTATACCTATAGAGGTCACCCTAGAAACTACAAAATCCTCGTTACCCAAGACCTTTGGATAGACTCATGTACTTACCGAAATTTTCAAAGAATCCACATCCTCCAACACAAGAGTATCATAGTCTCCGGGCTAATTACAATGCATAGATAAGACCTCTAATAAACTCACATAATTTACCAAAATGAAATCTAAAATATGATAATCAAATTTATTTAACTTGTTAATATATGAATAGCCATAATAACCTTGTGCCTCACACACCAATTAAAGTTACTATATATACGAAACCTTTCATTCTCTCTGTTTTTTTCCTGCTCCTTCATTCTCATCTTCTCCTTTATGCATTCATCTCTTTCATAGAGAATCGACCAACAGTTGTCTCTTCCTCGATCACGACTATCTATCTAAATTAGAAGAGGTGAATCATCAACGATTGACGAGATAAACTTATTTCCATCGATATAACTAAATTTGTATAAATATAAAATATTGAAATAAAAATATTAACTAATAAAATTCATGAAAGGAAAATATACACACAATTCCAAGATCTTCATCTCTATAATATTTATCCCACAGAAGATAAAAAGGAATGACAAATAGTTTTGTATAAAAGAAAGGATATTGTTCAACTAATGATGAATGTGAATACAACATTGTAAAACAACGATCACTATGTTGTATCTATCGACAACTTTATTTAAATCTAATTACCAGAACCAACCGGGAAAATAGCAGACTTGAAAAGTAAAGCAAAAATGTATGGTCCAAATTTAGTGGACGAGAACTGAAAATGCATGAGCCATTAGTAGTATGGCTTGCTAATTTTCCGGCGCTGAGGCAACTTCGGCCTCGGGAGAATCTGCCTCTGTCCCACCTTCCCCACTGGGCATATCTGCTACTAACCCACCTTGGTCAATGAGCATTCCTGGTGCCAGATCTTGTGGAACTGGACCACCCTCGTCGGCGGACATTCCTGGTGCGATATCTTGTGGAATCAACCCACCTTCGTCGATGGTTGTGCCTGTTTCAGGTGCGAGATCTTGTGGAATCAACCCACCCTCGTCAATGGCTGTTTCAGGTGCGAGATCTTCTGAAGTTAACCCACCGTTGTCGATTAGGGTAGGTGATCCGGGTCCAAAAGGCCTTGGACTTGACGGTGGAATCAACCCAACTTCGTCAATGGTAGTTTCTTGTCCTCCAGTACTGTCTGAATCCGCCACACCTTCTTCAAGCGGCACAAGTCTTGAGGGTCCAAAAGCCCTAGGAAACGATGGTACCGGTGAGTCCTCCGCTTTTTCTAAAGAATTCGCTAGGCGTTCTCCAGTGGCGTCTGAGAACTCTGAAGTATTCTGGTTTCCGTTGTCCACTTCATCTTCTCCTACGGTGGGCTGGATCGATAGAAGCAGCATCGATGAGAAGAAAAGAACTAAAGCAATCTTTGCCATTTTTTTGCATGAAAAGAAGGATCGTTAACCAAAAAAAAAACTAAAACAGATGTGGATGTCCGCGATTAAAGATTGATATTTTTGGGTTAATTTATAGCTTTCGTGGGTGACAAGACATACGGTACGGACATCTTTCTCTCCACCATAGTCGGAGTGAGATCGTGTTTTAAGGTTTTCCTTGGTTGGGAACTAATTCACATTATGTATAAATGCTAACTAATTACATTTTAATTTTATATTAATGTGGTTGGATGTACACTGAAAACACAAAACCAACACAATAATGACAACTTTCTCAATATAAATGTCTCCAGACACTTTAGTTAGGACAATGTATGTCTTGATACATTAATCTTATCCATCTTGGAATTATAACATAATCTTAGGTTGCACGAACCAACTTATCTCAATGTTAAAAGAAATGTTGTTGTTCCTAGAGATCACGGGTTCGAGCACCAATAACTACAAGACTGATTGAGCGTTCATTGTCAAATGGTTAAGAGTATATAGAACAGATAATACTTTGTAATCACCTTTAGCTTAATAAATAAAAATATGATGAATAGTTGGGGGATTATTTTTTAACTTTTAATAGTTAAAAGACTCAATAACATAATATACTATTGTCGGGGTTCATTTGTGTACTTTACCCTTATTTATTTAAGGGTTTAGTTTAAAGATGTTTCTAAGAATTTAGTTCAATTTTTATGTCAGGAATTTAAAAGCATAAAAATAATTAAAATAATATTAACGTAAAATAAGGTATACATAGGAGTATAAATGAACAGAGCATTCGGTGAACTGTTCGTGAACCATTCATATTATGTTCGTTAGTTAAGCTATATAAACAAGTATGAACAATTTTTTATGTTCATTTAATAAACGAACGAACACGAACAAAAGTGTGTTCGGTTCGTTTATGTTCACGAACAAATTCGTTTAACCACATATATCCTAAACCTATCTCTGCAATATAAACCCCAAGAATTATAGAGATCTCACAAAGGATTACATCTTTCTCCAAGGTAAATCTCTCTCTATTCTATATGCTAGGCATATTCTCTATTTATAAAATTAAATATTTGATTATCAATAAATAAAATTCTCGACCTAAATAAATATTTACTTATTCAATACACTCAATTAACAAATAATATTCAATCACTAAAATTACAATAAAATCTAAGTTAATTATTAATTATAATTTAAATCAAAATATAAAATTTTAATATTCTAAAATCATATATATAATATATATATTTATTTTGTATTCAACAAATCAATTATTCAGTCAATAAAATATAATAAATAATTTGTGCATAGTTTAGTTCAGTCAGATGACATTATAAGATTGAAATCCACGGTTTTGACATGGTTGTGGAGGTTGCTAGTTGTACTGCAAATCATGTCATATGTTGTTGCAAGGAGTGCTGCTACCAGCCGCAGCTGTTAAAACAATGTATATACATGGATTGGCAAAGGACATTTTAAAATATTTTTTGTTTAAATGTAATAAAAAAATATTATTATTTACTATAACAATGCACTTTTTAAAGTGTATATATGTAGTCCTGTTGCTCTCGAGTTGGTTTATATTTAAAGGAATTCTTTACTTGATGTATTCAATTTCAGACGATCTGTTGGTTTGTTCCTTGCCTTGATGTTGGGACTGGAAACCAAAGTCTGAAACTTCCTCTAGAGCTTGTCTCTTTTAAAATGAAGTATTACCATGCGCTGCAAGTATAAACTGGGGAAGCTTTTTAAGAAAAGAATAACACAATTCCAGGTCTTAGAGAAACAGAGAAATGGAACATATCAAGTCACAAAACTAGATGCTATCCCTATCAGACAAGACATATCTTTGTAAAGATTGCTGAATGTTTCATAAAATAATATTGTCCCTTCACAAATGAAACAAGAAAGTTGAGAATGTAAATCTGAAGAAAGTGACGAGTGTCCTTTTCAAGTCATAGGATTCAAAACCTATATATGCAGCCATTGTATCTTGTGTGAGTATTCATCACCCAAAACCCTCATCGTTTTCCATATCTGTTGTTTTTTCACTGTTAAATATGGGAGAACAGAGGCAATTTTTCCGTTTCCGATTGCCTTGGCTGTCTGCAGCTCCTGCTCCCCGTCCTGTACCTACTCCTCGTCCTGCTGCTGAACCACAACCGCGACCTGCCGCTCAAACACAAGCCTCTTCCCGGCCGACTGTTACCATCCCGATCCAACGTCCACCGTTTCGGCCGGCGGGGATCACCCCAGCACAGACTAAGCCCACACAGGTTCAGACTGAGCCACAACCTCAACCTGCAGCCCCTTCCCGGCCGACCGTTACTGTCCCGGTCCAACGTCCACCATTTCGGCCTGCAGGGATCACCCCAGCGAAGCCTACTCCCACTCAGGTTCAAGCACCACCACAAAAGACTGAACCTCAGCCAGTACCATCTCGTGCCCCCATACCGGCAAGGGCTGCCTCTCTGTCTCCATCCCGTGATGGAGAATCCGCTTTTAAACCATTTGGTGTTGCTGGAAAGCCTTCAGAAGAATCAACCCAACCGAAAGAAGTCGCACCGATCACTGGAGCTGTTAAAGAAACGCCAACAGCAGCAGTAAAGCCCAAGGAAATGGAAGAAGGAAAGAAGGTTGCCGAAGAGCGCAGTAAAGGTTCAACGCATGAAGAGCCAACGGTTACTACTAAACTTCTTTCGGCAGCGGCGGAAGCCGGAAAGAAAACCAGAGAGCTATTGGGGGCTGCAAAGGAAAAAGGGAAGAGACACCCGAGAAAAGAAGACGGTGAAAGAAAGACATGGACAACCTCAAGCACCGACGAAAAACAAATAAAAAGTGTGAGTTCAGCATATCCTAAAGATCGTAGCAGGCCGAGTGATTCTGGTGAAAAACATGTGGATTCTAAAGATGAACAAGTTCCCCTCCACAAAGAGATCAGGGAAGATGTTTCCAAGTTTGTTCGTAAGCTGGTCACCGGGAAACCAAAGCTGACTACAGATGAAAAACCGGTGAGTGTTATAACGCTAGCTGGGGAGAATAGTGGTGCATCTTTTCGATGTGATTCTTCAAGTGACGGAGAAGAAAGCTCAAGGGGAAGGAAGACTATGGATTCAATGATCAAAGAAAGTGCAGCACCCAAAGCATATGTCAATAGTAACACACAGAGCATCAACAATTCAATTATGTTGGAAAGTTCTCTAGAGGGGAGAAATCCTGGCGTTCATCTGGACTTTTTCAATGATGCAAAGGCTGAACCACCACAGGTGAATTTCAATAATTTTTACCATTAAAAAATAAAAAAATTGATAAATTACTATTAATGCTCCCTTTCAATTCTCATCACTTTACTGGCTCGAGTTTCTGTTGCTGAAGCATTCTTCGATAGCTGGAAAGAGCAAGGTTTTAATCATTGGAGGCACCGGATACATCGGGAAGTTCATAGTTGAAGCCAGTGTAAAACAAGGTCATCCCACTTTCGCTTTAGTAAGAGAGAGTTCCGTTTCAGATCCCGTTAAAGGAAAGCTTGTTGAAAACTTCAAGAACTTAGGGGTCCAACTGTTGTACGTAAGTATTTTTCAGTTCTTGTGATGTTAAACACGAACATGCAGCCATGCCTGACAAATCTTCTGGTGGTGGTCTTATTTTGTTAGTTTGATGTTGTTTGTGGGAATGCATGTAGGGGGATCTCCATGATCATGAGACTTTGGTTAAGGCTATTAAGCAAGTTGATGTGGTGATATCCGCTGTAGGTGAAATGCAGTTGAAAGATGAAGCTAAGATCATTGCTGCCATTAAAGAAGCTGGGAATGTCAAGGTTAGTGTTTCCCACTTAACTTACTCTGATTGTTAACTATGTAGAACACTAGTAAGATTATTATAATGTATGCATATCAGGCATTTGTTTGGTGGTCTTTGATGAAACCATTTGTTGTGTCAACATGCAGAGTGCTGTTTATTTTCAAATTCTTCATTCCATTCTAATGGATTTTAGTTTGCTTGATCAGAGATTTTTCCCTTCGAATTTCGGAAACGATGTGGACAGGGTTCATGCCGTTGAACCGGCGAAAACAGCATTAGCTACCAAGGCTCAAATCCGCCGTGCTATCGAGGCTGAGGGAATCCCTTACACTTATGTGGTCAGTAACTGCTTTGCAGGCTATTTTCTTCCCGGTTTGGCACAGCCAGGAGCCACTGCTCCCCCACGAGAGAAGGTGGTTATCCCGGGAAATGGTTATCCTAAAGCTGTTTTCAACTATGAAGGCGATATCGGCACATACACAATCAAAGCTGTTGACGACCCCAGAACATTAAACAAGATCCTATACATTAAGCCTCCTAAAAACACCTACTCGTTCAATGAGCTTGTTGCTTTGTGGGAGAAAATGATTGGCAAAACACTCGACAAAACTTATGTTCCTGAGGACCAATTTGTCAAACAGATCCAAGGTTGATGAAATCCACTGCTCTTTTTGCTTATTCAAAACTACTGCTAATCAAATGTTCTAATTCTTGTTGTTCCGTTTTCATCGATTCTTGCAGAGGCTCCATTTCCAAACAATGTTTTATTGGCAATCCAACATTCAGTCTTTGTGAAGGGTGATCAAACCAACTTCGAGATCGAACCGTCATTCGGAGTTGAAGCTTCCGAGCTGTACCCCGATCTGAAATATACAACCGTGGAGGAATATCTCAGCCGTTTTGTTTGAGAAAGAAATTGAATCATTAATCTTTGTCATTGAACTAATACTATCAATAATGAAATAAACCATCACCAACTGGTATATGCCTGTACTAGTAAGGTTCTTGCTATCATCACAGCAGGATGTGAACCATGCTGTTTTAAATTACTATATTATGAAGAGCATCTCTTTGTTTACTTGCTTATATAATTTCCATACGAGCATGGAATTTGCTTCACCTGTTTACCTACCTCCAGTTATCAACTTTCAAAAGAAGGTAACATTCAGAAAATAAATAAATAAATATGTAGAATTTTGTGCAGTGGGACTCTGTGTACAAGGTTAAGGAATCTGAAGGTTAGCTTTTTTTCATATTCTTTTACATGTTTTTCTTTCATGAAATGGCTTGAAATTCCCATTGAATTTAGTTGAACCTGATAAAAAAAACCATTGCTTTTCGAAATACATCACAGCTTTCAAATTCCTGAAGCCAGCTCCATTTCATGTGTTGATTTGTATCTGCTGCTGCTGCTGTTTCCAATCGACTCACAGACATGGTTCCATTGCTTACTCTTTTCACTCCATATTCAATCATTTTCCTATCCTTTATCCCCTCAGTTCTCTGAACTGCAGAATATACAACAAAAGAAGTCAACAAAACATTACAACACATGTATGTATGTAAGTAAGAAGTTTTCAGCTCTTACAACTAAATTCAAAGCTGGGTTTGGAGGACTGTGACCAGAGAACAAGTGTAGGAATAATAATCGGAAGAGCATCCCAGAAGAAGAATATGAAAACAAAGGTTCTTTCACTCATTTTTTCCAGGGAAAATAAGTCTAAATCTTTCTTTCTGAGAGGGAAATATAGGGAGGGGGGGAATAAATCCTTTAACAAATTAGCTGGCCATGTTTAAGGAACTTTGTTAACATACAACTTAATACTATAATATTCAAATTGTATTACTATTGTTCTCTTAATAAACTAATCAAAGTTGAGTACAAAACATCAAACTTGTGGAGAATATGCGGATTAGTTGTTGTTATTTAAGATCATGATTAGGCATCCATCTGTCATTTCGATATTATCTCACTCAGCTTACATAAACTGCCATTTATAACCTGATAATTGGCTACTTATATAATTTAAAAGCCTTGAATATTGACATATCAATGCTCAAGAGATTCCTGCTTCCTCACTGATGGCAATGTAACAATATTGGGTCAATGGCCTCGGCAACCCCTACTAGAATTGGGCCATTACTGCACACCCAGTAGCTAATAAACCAGAGTTGGCTGCCCCACTCTCTGAAATCGAAGCATCATTTGATTCATTTCTCCATTTCCAGATTTGATTCCCAATCCGGAAATACTCCGAACTCACTTCTTATTCATCGATCAGACCTTTTTTTTTTTTGAAAAAAAAAATGGGAACTCTTGAAAAAGCTATGTACACTGTCGGATTTTGGATTCGCGAGAACGGCCCGGCAATGGATCGCCTCGGTTGCATTCTCCAAGGGATCTACTTTATTTTTCAAGAGCAACGTGAGTTTTATCCATTTCCCTATGTTGTTGAATTTTCTCACTCTCTTAAATATTTACACTGCCGAGTCAAATGTTGTTTCTTCGAAGTTATTTGTGCTTAGGGCTGTAAATGAGACGAGACAGATCGCGAGCTATTCGAGATTGACTCGATCAAAGTTCGATAAATACTCGGATCGAATGGACTTGACTCGAGCTCGACTCGAGTTCTTAACGAGCTGAAATGAGATACTCGATATTCGACTCGAAAAGCTCGTGAGCAGCTCGAAAATATAATATATTAAGATTTTATTTTTTTAGAAATAAATTATTAATAATATTAATATTTATGTATTGATTTTTTTATAAAAAAAAATACAGTAAGATTTCTTGTATTTAAGGTTCATGTTCGAGTTTGAGTTTGAGGCTTCAATCGAGTTAAGTTTAATAATTTTTTTTCATTTCGAGCTTTTTCGAACTGCTCACGAGCTTCAGTTTAGGATTTCGAGTTCGAGTCGAGCTTGAAAATTTTAAGCTCGCGAGTTTTCGAGTCGAGTCGAGCTTAATTTCAAAGTTTTCGAGTCGAGTCGAGCTCAGCAATACTCGAGCTCGACTCGGCTCGTTTACACCCCTATTTGTGCTTATCGACCAATTATCATCTCTTAACAAGGATCTATCAAGACTCAAATTTATTCACCATGTCGACCTAACGACAACCATCATAATCTTAGATCTGAAACCATCACATATAAAGAGTTAATATATAAACCTTTATGCACCCTAAGAAAATGGATTATTCTTCTGATCCATTCACTCACTTCCACAGAGATTTCATCTTCATCTATTTATCACTTACACCATTGACTTATCTTCATATTACTATTGACTGCAATTCTACGCCTAAATTAGGAGTGAACCGTCATCGACCGACGTAACCATGTTATTCTCATTAATAATTTGGTGCGGTGAACGTGAAACCCTTCCTGACATAAAAAAATGATCAAAATGAACTGCAAACAATCTTCGCTACATCCACCCCAATCGATGGGAGGAATGGTTAGTGTAATCATAGGGGGTCTTGGTATAGGTCACCTTCAGCTGGCTCTTTGATTCGTTCCATCTAACCCTTGGAGTTCGTCAATTGTTCAGCTGTCGGTTTTGAATGGGAGTGGTTCACAATCCATGAGATCTGGAGGTGTAGCCAACGGGCTGGCAAGTCTCAACTGTCATTCTCTGCCTTTTACTATCTTATTCATTGGCAAGTCTCAGCTGTCGTTCTCGAAAATTAAAGACTAAATTCGTGGATAGTTAGATTATTTTTCTTTTGAGGCTTTAGTAGCCGAATCTTTTATTTTAAAATTATTAAAAAATAAAAATTAAAAAAATTATAATTATAATTAAAGAAGAAAATAATATTGGGTGAATTCACGAGATAATGTTCTCGAACTTTTTTATTCACGATATAATGCACATTCCAGATTAATTGCTGGGATGGGGTGAATTCTACAGTGATCTCGTAGGACGCCATGCAATCCAGGCGATCTTGTAGGACGCCATGCAATCCAGGCGACATACGGGAGACATACGAGCCATACGGGGTGACATACGAGCCATACAAGCCATATACGAGCCATACGAGCCAATGGAGAGGTCGCCATGCAGTATTATACGAGGAGAGGTAGCCATGCAGACGAGCCAGCCAATGGAGAGGTAGCCATGCAGACGAGCCAGCCAATGGAGAGGTCGCCATGCAGTCTGGGCGACCTTGTAGGTCGCCATGTAGTCCCGGCGACCTTGTAGGTCGCCCCGGCGTCGCCTAGCTCACGAGACCATGCATGCACATGCAGCCAATATTACTTCACGGGCTCCTGCTCCCCGCTGCATGCCTACAGCTATTGATGCCATGTGATCCTAGCTCACGAGACCATGCATGCACAATAATTGAACCATTGAACCATTGCTGTTGGTGAAATAATTGAGGCAGCCGGTTATATATGGGGTGTGCAAATCGCAAGAACATAAAAGAAAGATCTCACATAAAAGAAAGAAAGAAAGGGAGAAGAGATTGCAGCCGAGAAAGAAAGAAAGGGAGAAAGGAAAGTAAGAAGAAGAAAGGGAGATAAGGTAAATTTTTTTATATTTAAATTAGTTTATTATTATAAATGTTAATTAGTTTATTAGTTTAGGGTTATATGATTGTTAGTTTAAGTTATAGTATACATAATTAAAATTATTTAATTAGTATATGTTTGATAGTTATATAGTTAAAAATAATTAATTAGTTTGTTTTGTTAATAGTTAGTTATATAAAAAAATTATTTAATTAGTTTGTGTTAGTTAAATAGTTAAGTTATATTTGTTTGTTGAATATATATTATATAAAAAATTAGTTAGTAAGTTTATTAGTAGTATATTATAATGAAAAAATAGTTTATTAGTTAGTTTTAGTTATATAAAAAATATTTTATTAGTTGTTTAAGGGTTTAGTGTTTACGTTTAACTTATATTTTAAAAAGTTTAGTTTGTTAGTTTATTAGTTTATTATATTATAAGTTATTATATTAAAGTTTAGTGTTGTAAATTAGTTAGTTAGTTTATATTAGATTATATTAAATGATTTTTTAAATATTGTTGTTTAATTTTTTTTACAGATTCATTCCAATGGCTGACCAAATTCCACTGTTGAGGCTTGACAATGAACATATTTCAAGTCATTTGGGAATAATGGTGAAAAAAATATTTGTTTAATGAATTATAATTAATAAATATTTGAATATTATTTTATGATTGTGATAATTTTTTTGAAATATTTAATTGTAGGAGGACGAGCAGCGAGTCCTTCGTCTTCGACTACATAAAGTGCCCAAGCCACACCCACTGATAGAAGAAAATTTGCAAGAGGCTGGATTTTGGTATATAACATTTGTGCGAGATTACAAGTTGGTCCCAGGTTTGATCAGTGCGTTGATTGAACGTTGGAGACCAGAAACGCACACGTTTCATTTGCCGTGTGGCGAATGCACTATAACTTTGGAGGATGTGGCAATGCAACTCGGGGTCCAAACTAATGGGATGCTGGTGGTAATGTCACATGAGTTTAATAAGGTGGAACAACTTTGCAACTTGTTTCTTGGGAAAGCGCCCGTACCACCAGAGTGTAAAGGGTGGCGGGTGAGGTTGTCATGGTTGAAGAATGAATTTCAACTTCAATCAAATAGTACGGAGCACGAAATTATATATGCAACACAAGCATATATATTACAATTGATTGGGGGAATTTTGATGCCTGATAAATCCGGTAGTTATGTTCACACTCAGTATCTTCTTTTTTTAACAAATTTTGAGAATTGTAGACAATATAGCTGGGGTTCGGCGATATTGGCATTCTTGTATCGTGAGATGTGCAAGGCGTCATTGGTCGTGAATGATAATAATACAGTAGAAATTGGTGGATGTCTGTTGCTACTACAATCACGGGCTTGGCATAGACTTCCGTTTTTGACACCGATTAGTCGGACTGCGGTTGACTTTCCACTTGCCGGAAGGTAATATGAATCCTCTATTTTAATATAAAATATTAATTAAAAAATATT